CGGATGAGGCAACATTTTGAATAACAAATCTACACAAGTAACATTTGATCGAAATCTCCATGGTACAATACAGACTAGACACCAGCATCAGTTTACGATTAATGTGTGTTCTGGAGTTGTAAGTCACTGTCTGGTAGGTCCATATGTTCTCCCAGCACGTCTTAGAGATGTCTACAAGGAGTTTATTTCGAACACACTTCCATACCTGCTAGAGGGTGTATTCCTGCTAATACGAAGACGCGTATGGTTCAGACATAATGGGACTGAAGCATCTTCTAACTGGAATTGCATGTAATATCAATGAACATGAAGATGACCATTTATTCTGATACGTGGATTTATATATTTCCTTCTCGGCTGGTTGCCACACAGCTCAGTCTAGCCTGCTATTTGACTCATATATATGAGAAGAAGAGAGGAATTTATATTCATTTTCCTAAAGTTATTCGGGCGGAGTGAACACGACAGACTCTGCCAAAAATGTAAGTTGCACATTCTGTAAGACCGACAAGAGGTCAACCTCAAGAATACGAGTCACTCGTCATTGACTATACTGTCGCTATATATACCCGTGATAACAATAATTATTTCTCGAGGACTTGATAAGTTGTGAATACTACCACAACACCAATAATCTGCTCTTTTTATTTTGCAACTAGGCATGACGCAATCTTTTTATTTTTTAATCGAATTCAATTCATGCAAGGCATTAAAGCCACAAGGGGTTACTGCGTGTGGAAGGGTTAGAAACAGGAATGTTGCTAAGGTGTGATAACAAAAGAAGAATAATCAGGAGGACAGTAGATAGCAATTGAAATTGCATTTAAATTTTTTCAGAGTAAAGTTGGGTGGAAAGCATGGAGCGGGAAGGGAGTTCCATAATCGAGTAGTGCAAAAAGAAACTGTTAGCGTAGAATTTACGGTTGCATCTATCCAACTCAGCCGTAAATTGACGAGACCTTGTCGATAGTCTAGTACAGCGTTTAAATTCAAAGGGTCTAGGCGAAGAACTTATCCAAACAATTACCATGAAATAATTTATAGAAAAGGCACAGAGAGGCAACTTTACAGCGGTGGGAAAGTAACTGAAGCCGAGAGGCCGGAACAGAGCTAATAATATTATTGATTCTGCTTTGGATTTTATCAAAACGCTCTAGAAAAAATAGCAGCAGCACCGGACCCCATATGGCAGCAATATTCTCAGCATGCATGAATGGTAGACTTATAGAAATGTAAGATAGATTATGGAGAGAAAAATTGCTTTGCACGACACAATTAACCAACTGTCTTAGAAGCTGTTGTGGTACTCCTACAGTAGAATGAACTCTTCCTCCTCTCATAAATACTAACTGCGAGACTTCCTGGCGGCAATCGTTGGGCAGCCGAGACGCAGTGTAACCTGATCGTTCGCACGGACACTTCTATCTGCTTACTAACACTCTTGCTTTGTATGTATCTGTTATTTCAATACACTTGTTTAACCTACCTTCGTCTTCCGTGTCTTTCTTTTCTGGTTTCTAAACAGGCCACAACAGAAGCTGTCCTAGCAATGAATTCAATATAGTCTTTCCACTTCATATCACCTAGAACATTAGCCCGAGAAGGTGTAACAAGTCAGTCTCCTACGCTATATTGATGGAGAGTATAGAGGGATTTCTCGGATGATTGGTAGAAAGCCTATTAATTTTGGAGGTGTTAAAGTTAACAAGCCATCCTTTGCCCCAGTTAAAAACAATTTGAAGGTCGTTTTTGATATCAGCTGCCATTTTCACATGTTCTCTATTATTTTGCAATTAGTGTTGAGTTTATCTGTAGAATTGGATATCCGACAGGCCCATGATAATACATTTAGCTGAAAATAAATTCAAATCAAAAGATCGTTCTGATGATAACAAACAATTATTTATTATTAGTAATTACCACACAATTTCGTCATCTTTGTTCATTTTATTTGTAGCTGGAGTGAGCGCCAGTGTCCACATAAGGACTTTCCTTTTAGACTTTCTACTATGATCGGTTATTCTAACTTACTTCTCGAGTAACTGATCGTCGTTACAGTCAGTAACACGTAGGGTACTGAGATATGTCCACCCGCAGGCTGTTTTTGCCACCACGTACCTGGAAAAAAAAATATTGACAGTTGAAACTTTGTGAAATACAAGCTTTTCAGATGATATTAACCTAGTTACATCCTGTTTGAATGTAGACACACACTAGGTGACGTTGATGTCCAATGAGCATGCAATAAATGAACCGTAATCACTGATATAAGAAATAAAAGTCTTATAAAGAGTTTTTTTCGAATGCTTTAACCTTACAAGTCGAATTAATACAAATATATTTTCATCTTTACGCACAAAAGAAAAGAACATTAACAAACAAATATATTTCTCTATGCCCCAAATGTCTAAAAATCTAAAAAGCATAATGGATATTAGTCAGGTGCCATACGTGATACACGCTTAGGTAATGATGTATCTTTCGATACATGACTGACGAGGCAGATTTTACTTTCCCTGCAGTAGGCTGCCATTTCTTTCTGCGGTAGACCAGTTGTTATTCAAGGCTATAGAACCCAGTCCGTCCTGTCATAGGTTGGCGGGGGGGGGGTGAGGAGAAGAAGAGGATTCGAAAGTGAATGTAATGGTTTCGACTAGAATTCGAACTCGACTCTCCGATTCTTTAATCCGAGCCGCTATCCATTACTAGATGAATGAATTAGTTATCTGTTAAATGTCGATGTAACTTGTTTTTTGTTTTGCCACCGAACTACAAGTATTCGAAAGTCATAACTCAAAAGGGTATTTTTCAAACCCAGTGCCTTTCATAGCTTTAAAAACAATTCACACAATGATTACTAGCAATAAGTTTTTGGTAATCTTTACCTTTTGTGTCCGCAAAGAACGGCGTGCCAAAAGAACAATTATTCCCTTGACACCTTTGGCTCCCTCGACAATGTTTACTGCTTCAAAAGCGATGATTAGAATTTTAATAAAATCTTCACATTTGAAAGAGGATTTGTACAATTTCTTTATTCTTGAGAATTGACAAAAAAGATTTTAAATACCATTCATTTATTAGATTGAATAAAAAACATTTTTAATAGTTATTTATAGAATGGTAAATAATAAATATTACATTGTAGCTAGCTGACATCAGCCCGGGGGCTATGATCAAAGTGTAGTACGCTGCCTTTGTGAGCTTCCTAGTCGGCGTCTGTCGAACTCTCTGCATTAGCAGAGAGGAACCCGGACGAAGCTTTGCCGAAGGGCAAGGTTTCGTTCGGGGAGGTAGACAGGGCCTGAACCCGTCTAGGCGGGTTCAAAAAGGCTATATTTTTGGTCGAGCCTCCGGGCTCGAGGACACCCACATTAAACCGGCCTTGTGCCACATTCTATCCTCGTGGGTGGATCGATAAATACTAAGCTGACGTATTTTGATTATTTTGTAATTTTTTATAAATTTTTGAATAAATGATTTCTATTTAAATTTATTTCCTTATAAAATGGTAAATAATAAATCTTTATAAAAGGTAAATAATAGACGTTGCATTGTACTTGGTTCACATATTTTTAAAATTTTGTAAATAAATATTGCCGAGGGAGTCAAAAGTGTATACAGTAATAGCGGTGTCAAGGTAATAACCGTAATTTTGACACACCGCATTTTTTTTTTTTGGCACTAAGGTTAAACTGCCAGGTTTTCTTTAATTTTAAGTTATGACCTCTTGAATGCTGTTCTACTTTTATTACCCAAAATAAATATGAGCAAAGCAGCAGGGTTGGTGCAAGTGTTCCGTGAATCAAATGTATGATACCCTCACCCGAATCAATTATATGGGCTTCTGCACTCTACTATATTTCAATTCTTATAAGGTAGTATTTATATAAAATATACATTTTATTGTAATCTAATTATATACAATAATGGATCATATGCAATGTAAGTGAACAATTCAACTAGAAACATTGAAAAAAATGCAATCTATCTAAATACAAATTGGAGACATGTCATAATAGATAATTCCATCTTAAATAATTCAACGATGTTTTGTGTTAAATTTTAACATCAGCTTGAGATTTTTCTTGTCAAGAAGTTGAATAATTGTAACACATTAAACATTACGGATAAAAAAGGTGAATTTTATATAGTGGTTTTTTCGACACCTAGAGTAAGCAAAATAAATTCAACAGATTTGGATAAAAAAAAAAAGACCCTAGAATGACGTTAAAACCCGTGAAAAATTGTCATCCTTTAATAATCAGTTGTGTTAAGTTTAATTGGCAACGTATATAACGTAGGTCGCTGGGTCAAAACGCACTTCTCCGGGGCCCCCAATCAGGTTTGAGCCCCTCCCGGTCGTGTGGTTCCGGAGTAGTACCCACCGGACCTGCAAAGGAATACATTATTTCTCTATGTATAGACATATGTGAGTGAATGAGAAATAAGGCAATTCATGACAATGAAGCACTGTGAGCAAAAACACGAACACTTTCATCCTCATAGTTCTCTAGTACATAAGATCACCGGAGTTAAGCAATGTCATGCCTGGTCAGTGCTTAGATAGAGTGGCCGCTTGGGAATACCGGGTAAGCTTAGATGTGCGTGTGGTGTAATGGATAATGGCTCGGAATTGTTAATTTGAGAGCCGAGCTCCGATTCCAGTTGGGTTCGTTCTATTCATTTATGTGCAAATACACTTGGGAAAGGTATATCCAACATTTCTCCCCCATCTATGGGTTAATTAGTAAGGCTTGCATCACTAAACCATTATTATCTCCCCACAAAATTATTACAATCTCAAAATATTTTCCGGCTTTAAATAACCTGTAAAATCGTTGATAAGCTGTAGAAAAAGAATCTCGCGTCCCGTGAAAGCAAATGTCAGATGCGAATCGTACTGCCCTCGGCTCAACTTGAACCAGTGATCCCCAATGTTATCACTGGATCGCTTGAATATTTCTAACCTTTATAATCTTTTTACATTCATGTGATCAAGTTTACGGCCATATCACTTTGAAACTACCGGTTCTCCGTACGATCACCAACGTTAAGCAACGTCTAGCCTGGTCAGTATCAAGATGAGTGATCGCTTGGGAGTACCAGGTAGGCTTGGATGTGCGGATGGTGTAATGGATAATGGCTCGAAATTGTTAATCGGAGAACCGAGTTCGAATTCCCTTTAAGTTCGTTATATTCACTTACGCGCAAATACCTTTGGAAAAGTTATAAATCCACGTCTTCTCCTCCTTGCTATGGTTTAAGACTTGTATCACTAAAATAATTATTGTTTTAAAAAAATATACTTACAAGATGAAAAATATTTTCTGGGTTTAAATAACCTTCAAAGGGTTGATAAACAGTAAAAAAAAAAACCCGATCCAATCAATCAAAATAAAATGATAAAAAAGAGGCAGGTAAAATGAGTAAATGATAGAAATTAAAGAAAATGATGCAATAAAACTAATTAATTCGAATAAATAGATAAAAATATTTAAAAACGTAATTAAGAAAGAAGTTAAAGTATAAAAAAATTAACTACATATAAAAGCAAAATGAATATAAAAGGGTAAAAAATAGATGTGCTTCTTTTCAACTAAAATAAACAAATATAATAAAAAATGTACATAAAATAAAATTTGAACAATAAGTAAAGGAAAATAAAATAAAATCTATAGGAGAGTGTAGAGAAAGAAATTGCGACATTGGATAAATTTTCTGGTTGAACATTATTAAGAAAAGCTCCACAAGTGGGTTGAATAAAAATACAACGTCTATGAGTGGCGTTAAGGATGAAATGAAGAAAAAAAAATATAATTTAAAATTTAAAATATAAGTGGCAAACTGAATATTGAAATGAATATCGAAAATAAAAACGAAGAATGCATTGAAGGAAGCGTATTCGTCATGTTATCAATCAAAACTACTCCTTTTTGGCATTACTTCACTGAACATCTTCTATCCAGATCAATACGAAGTAATTTAATTTATTGTATTCATTCGTTTTATCTGCAAATTTTTCATGGTTCTCTCTGTCTGTCTCTTTTTTTATTTTTTATATTTTAAAATTTTGTAAAATATACAAAAGAAGGTTTTAAAAAAATTGTTCTCCCAACACACACACACACGCACATGCAAAACTTAAAAAAGCTAAGTTTGTCGGTTTTTAGGATTTATTAATCTTTCGGAGCAGAAGGTGTGTAACAAAAGATTCGGTTTGTACGCATCACAATGTACAAAGCCATAATTTATATCTAAGTTAAAAAAAAAAGTGGGGGAGAAAAATGCATTAATTTTAAGGGTAAAGAAAGAAAGAAAGAAAGAACACAAAGTAAAGTAGGAGATAGATAGATAGATAGATAGATAGATAGATAGATAGATAGATAGATAGATAGATACTGATTTATCAATAATGAAAGTTACTGAGAAAAAGAAAGGAAATTTTTTTAGAGAAATAATAATAATAATAATAATAATAATAATAATAATAAGAAGAAGAAGAAGAAGAAGAAGAAGAAGAAGAAGAAGATTAAGAAGAAGAAAGGGAAGCGAGAACGGAATAAATGAGAAAGAAAATGAATGCATGGATAATAGAGAATATCAAAGAAAGAAAGAAAGAAAGAAAGAAAGAAAGAAAGAAAGAAGAATGTTGTTTGAAAAGAATGGAGAGGACGGAAAACTAAAAAGAAGGAGAAAATGAATAAAAAGAGGAAACAGGTGAAAATATGGGAAGGAAGGAATGTGAAAAAAAAATGAATAAAAAGAAAACTAAGCAACAAATAAATCCCAATGTTAACAAATGTGCGAGAAAAGAAAGCGAAAAGAAAGAGAAAAGAGAAAAACGATCGAAAAAACTTAGAAAAAGAAACAAAATGGAAAACGTATTTACGATCTGCATTTAAGGCGTAAAGAAGAAAAAAATGGAAAGAAAGAAATAGAAGACGAAACAATGTCTACTTTGTCCTTTATTGAACAAAGTTTTTTTTTTTTGTTTGTTTGTTTCATATTTCAGGGTTACTTTTACGAGTTTGTTTTTCTATCATTTTTGGTTTATCTAACTTTCTGCTCAGTTTAATGTTTTAATTATTATCGTTTTCAGAATTTGTTGAGTTTAGTTTTTTGTTTCTTTCTTTTCTTTATTCATTCCGTCTCAAGATTGTAATCATTCGCTATAAAATATGATATACTGTTTTGAATAATTTTAGTTCAACCCTAAAAAGACAACAAAAAAAAAAAATAAAAAAAAAAAATAAAAAAAAAAAATGAAACCTCCCAAAGAAAAAGAAGCAGCAAAACCAGTTGAATGGATCTGCGAAACTTGGCTTGTCATATCATGTCAGTAAATAACATCTGACCAACTAGACGAACAGCGAGGCACAAGATGCTCTCATGAGATAACCACGGTTCTTGAACCTGTTTTTATGTAAGTTCAAGCGTCGGCTCCTTCCTAATGTATTTTTAAGTCCTAAAACGAGATTCCTAAGTTTGTTTTATGCAATTAGATAACCAGATTGTGCAGTAAGGTTAGTGTTACAGCTAATTTTGTAAAAAACACGAAAGAATGGTAAACGTAGAAAGATGACTTGATGAGTATCGCAGATTTTAAACATATTTGCATTTGGCTGTTTAAATAACAAATCTTTTCTTTTCACAAGTTGTTTATTTTCCTTTCTTTCCATGCATTCTTATATATATATAATGCAGATAAAAACAACAAAACAGGGATGCTCATTTTGAGAAAATCAGCACATGCATAAGTTTTTTATGTCGAGAAGGCATTTTTCGCAAATTCCCTTTAAGATTATCATAGTTCACAGGTTTTCTACCGTAAATAACAGGTAACATTCCTTTGCCGTGTAAAAGTGCCAAATAGAATTTATCTCTGTACTCTTAAAGTAGAAACCAGCAGTGCCATGATTCCGTATAAGGTCAGTGGCTACTATCAGCCAGCCTCTGGCCACAACAAATTCAAATCGATCGTTCTTAGAATTTGATTAGATACTATTAAAAAAATGAGTTGCTTCTAAACTTTTTCAAGGTTTCACTTGTAGATTTTAGGCTTTATTCTTTGCCTAAAATATGGGAGGACATTAATAAAACCTTCGGAATTAATATTAATGCTTGGAAACGTTGTTTAAGGGTTTTTATGATAATTTCTAGGTAAAGACAAAAATTGAACAAATAATCACATAACGTTGGATTTAGTGATGAAAGGGAATAAAGAATACTATTGACCAGCAAAAACTGGGTAAGGGTTACTAAATGAGGTTGTTGTATTGACATAAGAGAAGGAAGTAAGTACAGATTATGAGGATATGTAGGATAGATAACAACTGACCCTAGACTTGAAGAGGGTAAGATTCTAGTGATCAGGGAAGTATCCTCTCAGGAGCCTATTCCACAAATAGTTCTCAAGAAGCTGCTGCTTGAGTGGAACTTGCTTTTTACTAATGGAATACAAAGGGCATGTGAATGATACAACCCTAAATGTTTACCCAATACAAGGCACAAGAGCCACTCAAGATAGAGTGTTACTGAATGGCATTGTTGTATGGATTTAAGAGGAGGAACTAAGTACAGATTATGAGGATATGTAGGATAGATAACTCTAGACTTGAAAAGGTTAAGATTGTAATGATTGGGGAAGCATCCTCTCGGGAGTCCTTTCCACAATATAGCAGTTCTTGGCAAGAAGCTGTCCTTCTTAGCAAGGGAATACAAAGAGAATAAGAATATTTCAATCATGTATGTGTACATGACATGACAGGTCTAGCTGTAAAGTTCTGAACTAAGTGAACTAAGGAATTTATCTGATTCTAAATATTTTCAAGGGAAATAGTAACATGTAGTGATGGGCTTGCAATAGTTTGTCTGTGGGAAAAGAGCTGTAGTGTCATTCATCACCTACAAGTCCACGTAAACACGTTTTTAACTCTCATGGCTTGAGAATAGGGATTGTGCATCCCCAGCCCATATATGGCAACAATACTCATTTTTTGGGGTCTGATTTGACTTTTGGTTTGTTTTGTTTTACAGCATATCATTGCCTCAATGGGTTATTTAATGCCGATAAGATTTTTATTGCTGGTAATATATTTTTTCATAAAATGTATTGTTGGTAATATTTTTTTTCCAAAAATGTATTGCTGGTAATAATGTATTGAAACCTATTTTAACATTTTCATATCGTTTTGACCCCAGTTTGAGTTTAACCATATCAGGTGCTACCACCCTGGGTCAGGGTGGACCTGGGAACACCAGCAATTAAGAGGTACATTATTTACATTATTTGGACTAATGTCTTTAATCTTTGTCGTCATATTTATCACAATGTTTCGGCCATTGTACGTTCCGGCCATCTTCAGGTGGTTGGAATTTTGAACTGAACCCTTCATTTCGCTCACTGGGGTAGACTGTTCTAGTTCCACGTGCCATGTTTTTGATGGATGTCAGTTATCAGTTATCTCCTGTTAATTTCCCTCTGAAAGTTCTTCACTGCCTTAACCGGGTATTGAACTCACACTCTTTGAGTCCTGTCACTGGATCTAACCAACGCCTTTATCCACTGTGCCATGTGTCCTTGATGGCGACAAAGATGAGGACATTAGTCCAAATAATGTAAATAATGTACATAATACCTCATCTCAGAAATATAGACAGACAATTAAGAGGTAGGTCTACGTTCCCCAAAATGTCCTGATCAGAGGCTTTGCTGTTGGATGTAGTTCATTGTCTTATGCCTCATATGGAGGAGTCTTATGGCATATTCTGAAGCAACAGCCAACAGGATGATTTGACTTTTGTAAAGATAGAGCATGCCAGGAGGAGTCAGGTACTTTCTGGGGTAGTACAACGAAATGACCAATTTTTTTCAGCATCTCTAGCAATGGATTGTATATATGTGTTCCTTATATGAGAATATTTCAACCATGTATGTGTACATGATATGGCAGGTCTACCTGTGAAGTTCTGAACAAAGTGAACTAAGGAATTTATCTTACAGTAACATGGTTAGTCCTTTCATCTTGCTTTCTTGTATTACCCTGTTTAGGAGGTCATGTGATTTTCCTTTAGTATCTGTCATCAAAACAGTGTCATTTGCATATCTTGAAACATTACATAGAGGATGCAAAAAACTTTTTGCAGACTCCCTGGCAACATGTCCTCAAAGTTACCTTGTAACATTTCAAATACATTGCCCTGTAACATTATATTAACATTTAATATACAATAAATTCTAGGAAGATATTAGAACATCTTGCCGTTTATGAATAGTCCCTTCTTCTTGCTTTCTTTTATTACTCTGTTTAGGAGGTCCCGTAGTTCTCCTTCTGTGTCTGTCACCAAAACAATGCCATCTGCATACCTTGAAACATTACTTAAAAGATGCAAATACTTTTTTGTAGACTCCACACATGATGTCCACAACCTCACCATGTAACGTTGCAAATACATTGCCTTTTAATGTTACATTAACAGAAAATGGATAACTGAATAATGATGCACTGAATTTATATAAAAAAATAATTTTTTTCTTTTTTATTATCATAATAAATTTGTAAATAAACACAAAAACATACAGATATGTGTGTATTTGTTTCTTTGTGTATGTGTGTGTGTGTGGTTGTTTTATTGACCATTATTATTGAGACATGAATTAGATCCTCAATAAGTGCCTCATTAAACCAAACAACCATCTTTAGAAGTCAATATTTCTTTCAAAGCAAGAGAAACACATGTATTTACCTAGTGAGAATAATTCCCAGATGTATAAACATCTTGGAAGTGTTCACGGTTGCCATAGCAATAACACTGCTATCAGCATCTCCAGTGCAATGGCGATAACTTTATTACAATTTAAAAATATTTTCTGGCTTTATATAACCTTCAAAAGCTTGATAAATCATAAAAAAATAAATCAATCAATCTAGAAGTAAAATTCAAAATCCAAAATGATACAAATATCACATAAAATAAAAACTTACAAATATACTTGGTTTATTATATGCATATTCAGATATGTATTTTTATTCCACTATTGGTTTCATAAAAATTTCTCTATGTCTAGTTAAGGCAATGTAGATATTTTAATTTTTCAAATGAAGGATTTATATATCTTTGTATGAGAAAATGATGAGTTGTCTCTCTTGAACTTTGTTCAAAGTATAACATTGTCAGAAAAGGAAAGTGAAGTCCAATTAATTGTCTTTATTGGTAAAGGCAAAATGAAAAATAAAATTGGTTCTACAAAAAAGAAAATTGACAGAACTTATTGAAAAATAATTTCAGTCAATTAACTCAAACAGAGAATGTCTTTTTGAAAAGGAAACTTCACAAATCCTGTTGTGTCTGTGTGAAATATTTCAGCTGAGTCCTGAATTCATCTTGTATCTTTATTGGTTATTTTAGAAGGCATCAAGTGATTTTTTATCCAAAGATCACATGATCCTAATCTTAATCATTGTAAAAATTTCCAGACAATATTTTATTTGGTATAATTTTTTTTTTATTTTGCTCTTTTTCCTTCTTTTGAAAATCTATTTTAAAGTAGTTTCTATAAAATAATGGAGAATAAATTAGGATCAATTTTTCAATGATTATTTTAATAAAAATCATATTTTCAAGTGAAAATTAGATAATATTAAGACAATTGGAATGATATTTATTTTAATGTTAAATATTAAACATGTTGCAAAAAGGTAATCATAAAGAATGAATAAAAATTCCTAAAAGATGGTACCATTGTATAATTAAGCAATAATAATAATAATAATTTTCATAGTACTTTGAGTGCTTTTATTAAATGTAATGCCAATTAACATAAAAGATGTGCAATTTCTAATAAGTTTTTCAA